AAGGGGGCAGCAGGTAGATCAGTACTATTCACACATTCTTAGGGCAGTTTCTATCTTTCTTGAAACTACCCTCACCGTAGGCAGCTGTACCAAAGTGATCTTTTGTATCTTAGTTCGGGAGTGACTGATCCTCAGGAAAGAGGCTTATTGTCTCTTTGAAGTCCAGCTAATAACTTTAATAGGTTAATTATATTTGATATTTATGATGACTGCCTGTGCAGAGCTCTAGTCAATAGAAGTCATTCAGCATAGCTCAACCCTCCCCCGCCCCACGCAAACTGCTCCTCGTAATTATGATTTTGTTACTGGAGGATGAAGATTTTATTAAAGATCCCGATGAAACTAATTACAGCATAGCGTATTCTTTCTTCCAAACCAGGAACACTGGGGGGGGGGGGTGGAAGAGAAATCCAGTCAGACACAGAACTAGTATTACAGTACATACATAATATTCCAAAACATCTTGTGTAACAGTCTGTCTGTGACATTACATTCCAAGAAACAGCATATATAAAAGTTCAGCGCTTCTTACAAGATTTTTCTTCCAACAATTTCAAAGCACTTTACAAACATTAGAAAATAATCCTCACAATACCTATGTGGGATAGACCAGGATTATTAGTCCCATTTGCAGATGAGGAAACTAGAACACAGAGCGGGCAAGTGACTTATCCAAAGTCAAGCAGGAAGTTAGTGGCAATATCAACAAAACAACCCACATCCCCTGTGTTTTAACCCCTTCTACTACAGCATGAAAAATGATATAATTACTATAGTAAACATTATTCTTTGTGCAAAGCATATTTAAAGTAACATTTCAGTTCAAATCTGGCCCCAAATTTAAGTTGTATAAAAACAAGCTAAATCAATAGAAACATTCAATTTTATTTAAAATTATAGTGGGTGAATAATATCCAATTCCAATGCAAATTTTATACAAATAAACATTCCCCTGCAGTGTTTGCACCCCCAGACATTAGCTTACTGAGACTCTGAAAGGGAAACGGATGATAAACAAAAATGACAATGACTTAACTCATTCTGAGTGTCTAGGCTGAACGACATGCAAAAAGTAAACAGCACAATAGTGACGAGTAAAACAGGTGTTCATTTAGAATCTTCCCTGTTGATTACCTACATGCTATTGGTAACGCAAGTACCGATATAGGTTTGTTTTCAGCGTATGATTTTTATGTCTGCATAGCGTTGTTGGACCAGAGCAAGAAGAGAAAGAAGGATTAAAATAGGCTCCTACTCTTCTAAAGTGACAGATAAGGAAGAGGACTGTAAGTGCTGCAGCAACTTGATCTATGGCTCGGATCATCACACAGTAGTTTTTAGGATTATTGTTTGCAGGTTGGGGGGATCTGGTATGATGTAGATGAAGACAGGAAAAATACCGAAGCGGGGAGGACTCGGACCTCAATGAAATTCAGCCTGCCAGTGGGAGGAGGCTGCTGGAGGAGCTGAGTGGCAGTCACGTGCCGCTAGTGCTGCTGCAGTATCAGTTAATCCCTGAGATGAGGTTCTGGGCTCTGCTGCTGTCAGACGCCAACGCTTCCTCGCTTCACTTGTCCCCTTCGGCCACAGGCCAGGAGAGGTGCGTATGCGGCTATGAAACCAACTCCCCACTGACGCCTTCTCACCAGAGCAATTTGCACCTTCCCAGCTGGCTGCTGTAGGTACGTGGGTTGACGCGCACGGGCTATTGGCATCAGGTGTCCTTGCACTTCGCAGAGATGCTAACAAGATCGCCCTGTGTAGTTTGCCGAGGGGCAGGTTATATAAATAATGTGCCAGGGCTACTGTTAAATAAGTAAATATATCAGTTTCTGTAGGTGGTGCTGCCCTGGGGAAATAGCTAAGCAGCCATGGAGGAGAAAGGCACGGGAGCAGACTGCGAAATGCAGTTTTTCTATTGTTATCCTCCAAAAGGTCAGTTTGTGCACAGTCCCCCTTTGGCATCTCACTTCCCAGAAGGTTGGGGAAAACTCTGCCGTGAAAGGCTCTGTGAAGCTACCTTTAGGATGTAGAGATGGGGAACAATTTCCTTCCTTCATGTATCCATGACATTGTATAGTCTCTTTAGAGTGCCAGGCTGCCACACTTTGAGTGAAGCTTTGGGAAACATGAGTTGTTAACTTTGTAAATGTTTAATTATTTTAAACATGGATACCGAAGTGAGTGATTCCTTAAAATTACCTGCAAATAGATCAGACTTGACATGCTTCCTTTTTTTTTTTTTTTCTCGCTTTAAGGAAAGGTTCCAGCTAACTAAGTAAAGCTGTTTCTATGGTAATAGCGTTGGTGCTGTTGAAACTGTGCCTAAAACCCTACAATATTTCCTAACTGTTACTTTCCTTACAACGTTTCATGGCTATAACGTTTTTTTTAACCTGTAAGTGCTTTTCAGTGTGTTGGCACTTTCAGTCATCTATTGTAAGGCTACCTTGTTGGTGACTTGGAATAAAAATACTTGGCAGAGATCATCCTAGATGATAGGACTATGCTCTTAAAAGTTTTCAAGTACAAAGAATGGAAAAGTTACTATTTAAATACCCTAATACTTCATTAAAAAGAAACTGAAGTTGAGTTAACCCTATACAAAGAGATCCAAAGCTATGTCAGAGTTTTAATTCTAATTGCTTCTTGTGTCTCTGGGCATTGTAGTACTGACTAGCTAGTCCTGCTCTCTCTACCAATGTATCATTCTCATTGAAGTCAATGGCAGTATGTGTGGAATACTTGATTTTTTTCAGACCTTATGTAAGATCTGCCCCCCTGCTTGAAGACCCATGTAGCATTATCAAGAGAATTTCAGGCCCCAGTATGTATTCCCCTAACCATTATAGAATCCTTCCCAGGACTCTGGATGTGGTGGTTACGAGATGGAAGCCTGCAACATGTTCTTAAAACATCAACAATAAAATGACCTGTATTGCTGGAAGCAGACCTGTAATGTCTATGTGTTGAGAACTATTCCCACTCTGAGTCCTCATGGAGCCTTGAATATAACCAAGGGTGAATAAAAGTTACTCTTCTAGCCATGCTTCCTCCCCCCACCCCCTATAATTGGTTTATGACCTCTAAAATCATAAGTGGAGTTCTTAAAGTAACTTCCTTTACTACTTATGATTGTGTGGGAGATAGAGAGACTCTGGCAGTGCTTGTTTATGAAGGTGTGATTGTTTGATCTAAAATATGTGTGTGGTGTCAATGCAACAAGCTCGTTGAGTGTCGGTACCACTGCTGGTTTGCATGCAAGTTAATAGAGTGAAAAATATTTGTTCATAATTGAGTATGGCCTACTCTGTTCTAAAAATGTCGGTGCGGGAGAGGAGATGTATGTATTTCAATTGGCCACAGAAACCGAAAATCCTGTATCACAAGGAGGACGTACTGCCTTTAAGCCAAGATGAGTAAGATTTAAGAACTGTCAAAACAAATTTTGTTAAAGGACACTGGAATCCATCATGTACACTAAAACCTGCAGCAATAAGAGCCCTCAAAATGGGAACTTATAATGAGAGGTTTTAAATATAGCTTTATTGTTGGTCGTAGTAATAATTTTCAACATTAAGAAACTATGATTTTCAGGCCTTTTTAAGTACTTTCATACTCTCTGGAGAATTAATACCATGCAGACCCTTGTATACAGCTGAGTACAATGACTTCGTGCAACAACTGAAGGAGAAATACATTTTTAATGACTTATAGTTGGATATTGGATATAAATTGTGAATGACGGAGAATTTTCTAGCACATGTAGCTTTAAAACTTGATTTGTCTATTTAAAATGTCTTTCCAATATATTCAAAACTCAGATAAGAACAGGGGAAGCAAATCTAATTTCACAATTTAATGGAAACAAAATTCTGTCCTTTTGTTGACCTATTTAAAACAAAAATGTTTTTGAGTGTAGCCTTACAAGCTCTTCACTTTGACTCCAAAATACCACAGTAAGAAGCTTTTGTGCTGAAGAACATAATAAAGAATTTAATCTGTTCAATTCTTCTCTTCTCTCTAACATTTGCTTGATGCTCTTTACCATGTTTGGCTGCAGTCTTAGCAAGCTTAACAGAAAAAAGTCCTGTCACTGCATTTATGCTAGGTCCTATTATAGTACTGTCAACTCCAACCATTCAGAAATCATGAGTCAGGCCCTGCAAAATCATGAGATTAAAAACCTCACTAACCCCTCCACAACTTTGGGTCCTCCTTATTTGCTTTCTTTTTGATGAGCCATTAATATGCACATAATCAATGCTCTCAAGATTTTCTCTGCAACCATAAAGGTTAGACACTCTTTTTTAAAAACAAACAAAACCCTTTTTTTAAAATGTAATCTGACTCAGGATCTGGGGCTCTAGAACACTAAATGTCAGACTCAAGATAAAACCACGAAAGTTGAAAATACAGTAGCAGTATCTTACTTTTGGACCAGTTGCTGCCTCTAAGTTATCTGTATTGTGTAAAAAGGAGAATTGACATTTGAAAATGCTATAGGTCATTTAAACTTGAAAGAATTAGTCCTGGCCTTTGGCCTGGTTCTACTTTTTAGACAGCAGGCTTGGAGATGTAAGGGTAGATAACAAGTACCCTTAAAAGCTGATGACATACTACAAATGTCCTTCTGATTGAGTTCCCTCTGTGTCTAAAACTTCTCATATTTGTGGTTTTGGTGAGGGAAGAATAGAGCTTTTTGGCAATTAATTCAGTAATCCAAAGGGACAAAAATGTCACTTGTAAATCATGGTCCTAATATTTTAATCTCCAAATTCAATGGCTTCTCAAAACTTTGTTAATTGAGCCTAGATATTGCTGTAGTTCTAAAGAATACATATGATATATGTCTTGCTATTTGTGCAATGTAGCATGCAAATATCTTTAACCTGCTTGTATCAGTAGACTAAAATCTTAAGTGTTGTGTGTAATAAAAGTGATCTGCTGTTTACTGTATTTTTCCAATTGACTTACACAATGGCTTTTTTCTTCCAGAAATGGAAAATGCTGAAGTGGTTGTAAGCAGCTGCAGTTCTCATGATGATGATAATCTTTACAGCTACAAACGACACCCATCTGTTTCACAGGAGCTGCTTTTGGAAGACCAGCTTAGAAGGAAACTTAAATTTTTTTTCATGAACCCATGTGAGAAATTTTGGGCCCGGGGCAGAAAACCTTGGAAACTTGGGATTCAACTTCTAAAAATAGTGATGGTTACCATCCAGGTGAGTTACTTTGGTAGCTGGGGCTTTCTTTTCACTCCATGGATACAAGATAGGAGGAAGGCAACTGATAAATATTCTACTTGCTGTGGCACAACATAACAGTATCAACTCAGGCTTCTCTTAATAAGCAACTTTGGAAGCCTTGGCAATATGGTAGACGTTGCGTGGTATGTTCACTGTGAATTTTGAATGAGGTATGCAAACATACATACAAACACACATTTAGGTAGAATTTAAGTACTCTCTCAATCTTTTCCTTCTCATCCAGCTTTAAAGTTTAGTTTGCTAGACCAAACATTTGTTGTTTGACTAAAATGTCATTATCTGACTCTCTCTCCTTTTGTTGTGGAGAAAGCTTATGCGCTAATTCCTCTCCTATCTTAGTCTTCAACCAAAGATCTTCCATAATTTCTGCTTATGGAGTGCAGAACCTAGTGACTTTCTGCTGTGAAAGCAAGCATTGGTCCCACAGGCTGCAAGAGTGAATTCCAGGAATCTTAGTTTCCTTGATGAAAACCTGGTGTGCTCTGTGTGCATATATGCTCTACTTTATATTTTTTTATATTACTTTTACTGCTATGTGTTACATGGATTGTCTTCTTCTTGTAGTAGTTAGAAATTGGGAATGGGAGGACCTAAATTGGAAGTAAACTAATGTTGAGCCACTGTTTCCAGGGGAAACATGCCCATATATGAATAACTTGAAATCTTTATCATCTTCTCACTAGTGTATGTTTACATGTGTAGCCCTAGGGTGATATATTGAGATGATGCACTCTTAAATGCCAGAATTACTGGTAATCTAGTTATCCTCATGTAGAAATTTCACTTCCAGGGAACATCAGGGCTGCAAAACCCTCCTTTAGCCCAGTGACTGTCTGTTTTATTTCCTGGAAGTCTCTTCTCTATTAATTTGGCAGTAAAACCACTAAAGGGAATTCTGGGCTCCTGTTAAGTCTATATAAAACTCTTCTACAAGTGTCTCTTCTTCCCCAGGGTAATACTTGTCAACAGGATCTTGTGCTAGCTAATCAAAACCTTTTAATGAACAGTTAATTCACTTCTAATATCTCTTTAAAAGCTGCTTTGGGTAATTGCAGAATGCTGTGCTAATGCCGCTTTTACCTGAGTGCAAGAGGTTAGACAATTACATTTCCTCTTCTACATCATCCCAGGGTGACGACCTTTTTTTTTCTTTTTTCTTCCCCCTCGCTTGAAAGCTCAATCTGGTTATACCTTGTAGCTGATTCTGAGTTGAGTCACTCTGGTATTTCTTGCTTTCCAAAATAACCTCAGACTGACTGTCAAAACATGTGTAGTGACTCATTTGTAGCTTGGATAGGAGATGGGATGGCCCCTTTCCTCCCTCCCTCCCTCCTTCCCCCCCCCCCCCCCCAAAAAAAGAAAAGGCTGTTAGACCTGCCTCTATCTGGATGGGAAATGACTTTCCAAACACAGGAGGCGGTTGTACCTACACTGAAGGAATGATCTTCTAGGCTATGTATTCTTTAGAGAGGAGTTTGAATTTCCAACATGTCTTTCTCCTCCCACCCCCCAAAAAAAACCAACCAAACAAAAAACAGCTGGCAGTGTGAGCTCTTTCTAGTAATAGTCTAATCCAGCCATGGCTGTCCAGAGGAGGTTTCTGTGCAGAAGAGGGAAGGTAGTTTTACTGTAAGCCTTTGCAGTTCCAAAGGAAAATTGGCTTTTAAATGTTTTTCTTTTTTCTCTCCTCTTCTCCCCCCCCCCCCAGTTAGTAGTTTTTGGGTTAAGCAATCAAATGGTGGTTGCCTTCAAGGAGGAGAACACTGTGGCATTTAAGCACCTCTTCTTGAAAGGATATACAGAGAGAATGGATGATACCTATGCTGTATACACACAAACAGATGTCTATGACCAGATCTTCTTTGCAATAAACCAGGTAAAAGTTTCCATTGCAATATGTCTAGTACATAAAAAGCGTAGGAAAGAACCTGTAAATGTAACTTAAATCAAGTAATCTCACAAAACTGCAAAATATCTAAAGCTGGTGTCTCAGAAAAAGTGAGACTGAAATAAAACTGGTCTCTTTAGAAAGAAATTGAGCTAAAAGCTGGAAGAATTTCCCATTTCCCAAATTCTTTGGGAGTGTTGGAAAGGGAGAATTGACAGGAGAGAACGTTGACATTTTCTAAATTAAGAGGGCAGAGTATCAGTGAACAGAGACTTGTACTCTTAACTGTGGAGTCATTAACATAACTTAAGTATACTACTATTTGACTTTGACTTTGTAAAATTACTAGACATTTTTTTAAATAGTCTGTCATGACTCTGCATTATTGCCAAATCTTGAGCTCTTTATGAACAATGATATAGGATTGGTCAGATAGATATTCTACAAATGTAGAGTCATAACTGGAGTGTGCCACTTTAGAATTGTATGGTAGATTATGTCCTATATAGTAATACTACTGTCCTTCATTGTAAATTCAACTAAATCCATTAGTCTATAGCTGGTGTTAAGATGACCTGGTCTCTCTCAGCTGACTCTTTCTTCAAGTTAGGGAATGATTTCATGCTGAAGTTGAATTAAAATGGGTATGAAGGAGGAGACTTCCTCAATTTAAAACTAGTGTCTCCTCACTATCCGAGCCAGAGGAGACCAAAGTTGAATTTCATGACTAGTCTCTGGCTTGCTGGGCAAAGTATGAGTACTGGGGGAAGTGGTAAACTCAGTCTGGGGGAAGGGAGTTTGTCATTCAGCTGCAACCCATCTGGATGAATGTTGTCTCATTCTTTAGGGAGTCTTATCCAGCCATCTACAAAGCAAACAATGTGGGATATATATATCTAGGAGAGAGAATCTGAATTTTGGTAGCAGGTCTCTAAGATTTTCTGGGCTGAATAAAGGATGATGGGGAGGGATTCAAATAATTCTTTCTCTGTGGAGACTAGAGGAAAAGCAATTGGTTTTTGTTTTTTAATTGGAGTAGTGAGCTGGGGAAGAGCAGCTATGTTCTCCAATCACTGGAGAGAACTCTCTGGCTCTACTTCTTACTGGCTGAGAGCCTCCACTTGTTTTTCCAAATACTAAGCAAATAGACCTATCACTTCTCTAACAGTCAATAACTTACATTTGACTATAGAGCTTTTTCATCATATTTAAATGCTACAAGGAATGTTTGTCACTAAGCCATTTCTTTTGGCACAGTTGCCCTTTGGGATAACTAGATAGAATGGTCCACACTTTCAAACAGGAGGTTTGGGTCCAGATACATGTATCCGTCTCTCTAAATGCCTCACCTTGGTAGTGCTAAATGGGGATATATCAACACAAATACTCTGAATTGCACCTGCAATTCATTTTAAAGGTGAAAATTGTGCCTGTAAAACACTCAGGCTGGGTCTCTCTCCATCTCAAAAGTGAACTACCCCAAAGGGGGAGTGCAATAAGAAAACAGGGTATTGGTCACAGTGTCTGTATGCTCTGAAGTTTCATTATTGTGGATTTAATTTATATTTGACCATGCTCTCCAAAAGCAAATATTACAGTAAATATCTTTTTTTGCCCTGGTCTTCTGGTTCTTAATTATGTAGTAATACGTACCTCACCCCAATTCTGTTTATCCCTGTGATATAGGGATATATAGATCTATCCCTGATATCTATAACTTACCTGCGGCCAGCCATTTCTGTAGGTCTAAAGAACTATACATAATCCAGTTCCTACACTGGATGATCAAGTATGATCAGGCTTTTCAATATGAACCAATATTAAAGCTTCCTGAGAGTCCGCTTGAAGTTTTAGAGGCTTATGGCTAAACGTATAGAATACATGGCAGTGACAGGAGGCGGATCAGGATTACCCAGTGCAAGGTTTTTCTGTGTCCACACTTAAGGCTAGATTCACAAAGACACTTGGGTGTGGTGGTGCTCTGCATCACCATGCTTATCTTTTAGATTCTTAGAAAAATCACTGGGATTCATAAAGCCTGGGTTAGGCACCTAGGGTCCCTATGCAATGAATGGAGGGTGATAGGTGTCTCAGAATGGGATTCACAAAAAGCCAGTGTGCCGGGAGGCTCCTTGCCTAAAATAGCCAATAAGAGGTGCCAAGCTGAGGTGTGTGCTGAGCCCTGCCCCTCTCTTGGCAATAGGTGCCAAAATCTGGGCTGCAGGGAGATGCCTCCATCTGCTTGGGATTTTCAGCTGCAAACCATCTCTTGGTGTTAGGTGCCTGTGCTGTTTTGGCAAAGGGGTGGGGGCTAGTAGAGGAGAAGGAACAGGACCAGCTGCCTCCGCTTTTAGTCCAGTGATTAGGGTACTCACCTGAGATGTGGGAGACTTAAAGCCCCCACTCCACCTGAAGGGGGGAGAGGATTTGAGCAGGGATGTGTCACCTCAGGTGACTGCTCTAACCACTGAACTATGGATATTCTGATGTGGGACTTTTCCACTCTGGATAAACTAATTTTAAAAAGTCAGTGGAGCAGGAGAATTAGACCCAGGTCTCCCACTTCTTAGGTGAGTGCTCTGACCACCAGGCTGCACAGTCATATTCTCTCCTTCCTTCCTTCTCCTCCCACCAATGATTCTGTCATTTATGTATCCAAACCAGTGGTCTCCAAACTTTTTCAGCACAAGATCACTTTTTGAATTTAAGTGCAACCCAGGATCTGCCTCCAAAGAAAACACAGAAATAACAGTAATCACACAAACCAAAACACCCCAAGGCCATGTCCCTGCCCTGCTCACACCATCCCCACTCACTTTCACTGGGCTGGGACAGGGGGTTGGGTTGTGGGAGGGGGTGCAGGCTCTGGGCTGGGGCCGAGGGGTTTGGAGTGTGGGAGGAGCTTGGGACTTGGGTGCAGGAGGGGGCTCAGGGCTGGGGGTTGTGGTGCAGGAGGGGGTGCAGGCTCAGGGAGGGAGTGGGCTCTGGAGGGAGTTTGGGTGCAGGGGGGCTGAGGCAGCAGGTTGGGGTGCAGAAGGGGTCCAGTGTATGGGCTCCCGCTTGGTGTCCCTTACCTCAGGCAGCTCCCGGGCAGTGGGGCTCTGGCAGGCTCCCTGTCTGCCCTGGCCCTGCACTGCTCCTGGAAGCAGCTGCCATGTCTGGCAGTAGCTCTGTGGGGGAGGGACAGGTGGCTCCACATGCTGCCCCTGTCTGCAGGCACCACCCCCACAGCTCCTATTGGCCGGGAATGGGAACTGTGGGGGTGGTGCCTGCATATGGGGGCAGCGCATGGAGCCTCCCGCCCCCAGAAGCCAATGGTGGTTGCTTCCAGAAGCAGCGCGGGGCTAGGGCAGGCAGGGAGTTGGCCTTAGCTCCACTGTGCCGCCAGACTGTTAGCGTCCGAACTCCATGTTTGGCTGCAGGAGGGTTGGCAACCCTATCATGATTGACTGGTTGATTGTGGAGCCTCTGATGGCCAGAGGCTCCGTGATAGACTGGTAGGTGACCACTGATCCAAACTAATACAGCTTCAACAGGAGAGACTGAGGAAGCCCCACACTCGAATATCCTATAGGCTGTAGCCCAGTGATTAGAGCACTCATCTGAGAGGTGGCAGTTCAAATCCCTTCTCCCGCTCAAATGAAAGGGAACTTGGGGGTCTCCCACATTGCAAGTGAGTACCTGAGCCACTGGGCTAAAAGTTATGAGGGAGGTCGTCTAGTCTAGTGTAAGTTCACCTATAGGGGTCTAGCTCTTAGCTGCCAAAGAACAACAATTCTCACATTCCAAACTTCTGGGCAATTGTTTGAGGGATACGATCCTATTTCTTAAATATCTTACAAGACTGTCATTTTAAGATTCCAGGGGACAACTTATCATGGCACTGTCTGACTAGAAAAGTCAGGATAGTGCCGTGGTTGGGGAGCTAGCCTAGGACTTGAGTTGAGTTCAACTCTCTGCTCTGCCACAGACTTCCTGTGTGACCTGGGCAAGTAATTAAGCCTCTCTTTGCCTCCGTTCCCCATCCTACTTCTTAGGGGTTTGTGAGAGTATATACATTAGATTGTGAGGTGCTCTGATACTACAGTAATAAGCCCCATAGATGGGGGGGGGGGAAATCTAGACTGAGGAAAAGGGTTTAGGAAAAGAGAATATTTTCCTAGAGTTGCAAGAAACAGACCTGGAGACACACTGTGTGTGAAGAGGGAACAACCTGGTCTGCTGTGTGGTGGAATGGAGCCCCAGTAGAAATTTGAACTGCCAAGGAGCCAAAGTTGCAGCAGAGGATTGGTAGGACTATAGAAAAACCCCAGCCACACCTTCCTGTGCTGGAAGCAGGGAAAAGCATGGTATGAGAACTGCTCTGTCCGCTCTAGGGCATCCCAGGGTCCTGTATGCTGAATGACTCTCCTAGAGTCAGATGTGCTAGTGGGGCTGCTTTTTGTAGCATCACCACATCACGCGAGAGGATCTGTCCACTGTACCTCTAGGATCAAATGAAATACTCCTGTCAAACCAAATAGCTCATTTGTGTGTAAATTTTGACTAAGTAACAAAATACAATATTGCCATATGCCTGGGATAAAACCAGTCCTGAATCAGATTGACAGATGAAGGCCTTCAGTGACTACTTGGAAAAAGCTGGTACTAGTGATCTTCATGCCCCAGTGTTAAACCTGGGAGGCTGTTGCCTCCCAAGTCTTATCCTTGTCATGTCTAATGGCTTTAATCCAAGGATCTCCAAGTAAAAAATAATGAATTAGCCTCATCCTAGGAGACCTTTAATACTAAATACTGCTTGTTTAGGATCTAATCCGGAACTTTTTGCCCAGGCAAAACTCTCTCTTGAAGTTAGTGGACAAGTCCAGCTGAGGAGTGTGGTGTAGGCCTTCTGAATTATTTAGGTGACCTTTTAAACAGTGAGATGGTTCTAGTATACATTCAAACAAATATTGACTAGCTTTTTCAGATGTCATGCCTAGGCTGCTACGTCTAATTCAGTTTGACGCTTATTGTTTTGACTTAGTACTTACAGCTGCGCAACATATCTGTTGGAAATCATGCTTATGAGAGGAGAGGAGCAGAACAAACAGCTATGGCAATCTGTCAACAGTTCTACAAGCGAGGAAGCATCTGTCCTGGAAATGACACCTTTGATATCGACCCCAACATTGAAACTGGTGACACTCCTACCTTATATCTTGTCTGAACTCTTTCTTTATACTCAGTAAACTTTTGTTTTCAATTTTCCCCAAACATAATCAGTATTTTATAGTTGTATTAAACTGTCATGGAATCTACAAATATTTCTCTTCCAGCATAATCTGTTCTAGATTTTGTGATCACGTAGTCTCTTTAAACTTTTATTGTAACCTAAAATTTGTGAAATGTGTAAAGCTTTGTAACTTTTAAAAAATTAATTGCGATTCTAATGCCGTTATGTTGAGGGAAGTAGCACTAGCTTTAGCCAATGCTATTGGTATTTTGACTGACTTATAGGCTTTTCTATGGCATCCATCACCATATTATGAAGCCTCTTGCATTTACTAATGCATTTACCATCACAACATCCCTGTGAGGTAAGGAAGTAAATAACTAATGTTAATTCTTTAAGTGTGCCTTAGGTCAAGAATGAATTGAGTTGGAGTGCAAGAAAGTCCATACTCTTGCAAACTGATCTCTAAAATGACTGACCCATTTGAGATGTATTGCTATTTTGACTTCTTTAGTAAATAGCTCTTATGCCCACTGGGGGGTTGGTAGTTTAATTTGTTTTAAACCGACACTGAATCCAACTGCTGTTTTGTGCCTCTTTCTTCATGGCAGAATGTTTCTATGTTGAGCCAATGATGCCTTTGGAAAACAGAACACTGGGAAAGCACCAGTTCAATTTCACTCTGGACTTCCATAGGTGAGGTGGAAGTGGGGTGTGTGTGTGTGTGTGTGTGTGTGATTCTAGTACAGTGGCTCTCAGACTTTTTGTATTGGTGACCCCTTTCACAAACCAAGCCTCTGAGTGCGACCCCACCCCCTTATAAGTGAAAAACGCTTGTTAATATATTTAACACCATTATAAATGCTGGAGGCAAAGTGGGGTTTGGGGTGGAGGCTGACAGCTCATGACCCCCCCCCCATGTAATAACCTTGCGACCCCCTGAGGGGTCCCGACCCCCAGTTTGAGAACCCCTGGTCTAGTACTATGAAAAGCTAATTCAAACTTGCCTTCCAGACTTGTAACAGTACAGCTTACCTTTAAACTGAAAGCAATCAATCTCCAGACAGTTCGTCACCATGAACTCCCGGACTGTTATGATTTTACTTTGACAGTAAGTGAATACTTTAATATTTTGTATTCACCATAGTAATAATTCTTATTGCATATATTGATATCTTCATAGGGGTGTACTATACATACCATATATTTAACCATGGTTGGGCACCAGGGCTCAGTTATCATGGTGAGTGGGTCGAGGGGGCTGCTATAGCTTACAGTAGCCTATAAATAGTTGAAGGTTGGTGCTGTGGGAGCCACAAGACATTTTGCCAACCTTTGTTGATAGGCTCTCCTCTTAAACCATTAACCAAATGCTACCAGACAGCAAGTATAAGAAATTAAACCTCCACCTTTGAGCACACTACAAGTATATTTAAAAAAAAACAACTCTCTTCTCTCTCATTCCCTTCTAAGAATGGTTATGTGCAGTTCAGACTAGAATGGGATTGTAACTTAAATTAATGACTTAATTTATGTTCCAACAAATAGAACATAGTAATTATAGCAAATAACTAATCAATCAGACTTTACCTTTTTTCTGTTACATATTTACATACATAAATTTGAAGATTCTTAGTTTCCTAATTTTCCTCCTAAGAATATTATGGGTCATTGTTATGAAATATATATAAAATGTCTAAGCTTTATGTAAGCACCTGTAACTTTATACAAAATCTCTCTGTTCTTCACACAGATAGTGTTTGATAACAAAGCACATAGTGGAAGAATTAAAATAAGTCTGGACAATGATATTGCCATCAGGGAATGTAAAGACTGGCATGTTTCTGGATCAAGTAAGTAACAACTAAGTTAAAATACTTTAAGGCATCCATAAATGTTTTTAACTCTTGTCATGTTAATACAGAATTCATCCACTCTGGATGGGGTTGTGTTCCATCTTCTCATCCTCTTTCATTTTCACCTTGCCAACTAATACAGGGAATTATGTAAAGGGGTGCTGTCCGCAGAGTTGGTCTCAAATTTAGGTTTTATAAAGAATCTTTCTGCTCATAACTCTCAAACATTTTGAACTTTCACCTGAAATTTTGAGAACACAAACATATAATTGTTTTACTTGACGATTGAGGTGCTAAAGGAGCACTCAAGGAAGCCAAGGCCATTGTGGAGAAGCTAAATGAATTCTTTGCATCGGTCTTCAGTGCAGAGGATGTGAGGGAGATTCCCTCACTTGAGCTGGTCATTTTAGGTGACACATCTGAGGAACTGTCCCAGATAGAGTTGTCATTAGAGAAGGTTTTGGAACAAACCTGATAAATTAAACAGTAAATCATCAGCAGAGCCGTCCCATCCATAGGATGGACTGGGGTAACTGCCCCGTGCCCCCTGCTTTGGGACACAGGGTCCAGGGTGGGCTGGGGGATCAGTGGGGGGCCTGGCACCAGCAGCAACAAGCGACCCGGCCCCAGCCTGCCCCGGTGTTGCTTGGGGGAGATGGCGGAAGCCAGAAAGGGCCAGGGGATTGGGGGAGGGGTGGAGTGGGGCAGGGCCTGGGTGGGAGGATGGGGGGTGGGGGGGTTGTCCCAGGTCCTGCATCCCCCTAGGGGCGGCCCTGGTCACCAGGACCAGATGGTATTCACCCAAGAGTTCTGAAGAAACTGATATGAAATTGAAAATCTACTAACTGTGGTCTGTAACCTATCATTTTAAATCAGTCTGTACCAGGTGACTGGAGGATAGCTAATGTGATGTCAGTTTTTTAAAAAGGTTCTAGAGGTGATCCTGGCACTTACAGGCCAGTAAGCCTAACTTCAGTACCAGGACAGCTGGTTGAAACTATGGTACAGAACATATTCATCTGTCTGCTAATCCTGACTTGTTGGGGAAGAGTTAACACTGCTTTTTTTGCAAGGGAAATCATGCCTCCCCAATTTATTAGAATTTTTTGAAGGGTTAACAAATATGTGGACAAGGGTGATGCACTGCATATAGGGTACTTGGACTTTTTGAGAGAGCTATTGACACAGACTCTAGTAAGGAGTCATGGGATAAGAGGAAAGGTCATCTCCTGGATCAGCAACTGGTTAAAACAGGAAACAAGGGATGAGAATAAATGGTCTGTTCTGAGAATGGAGAGAGGTAAATAGTAGTACCCCCACCCCCCCATAGATCTGTACTAGGATGAGTGCTGTTCAACATGCTTAACCCTTTTTCCAGATCATTTACAAACAGTGAGGTGGCAAAGTTTTCAGACCATACAAAATAACTCAAGATAGTTAAGTCCAAAGCTGACTGTGAAGAGTTACAAAGGAATCTCTCAAAATCTCTGGTCAACAAAATGGCAGATGAAATTCAGTGTTGATAAATGCAAAGTAATGCATATTGAAAAACTTAATGCCAAATATGCATAAATGATAGGGTGTAAATTAGCTTTTACCACTCAAGAAAGATCTTCGTCATTGAGCAGGTATCATCATACCACTATCCACAACATGCAGCAGTGGTCAATAAAGCTAAGAATGTTAGGAAACATTAGGAAAGGGATATATAATATAAGAAGAAAATCACAATGCCACTGTATAAATGCATGATATGCCCACACTTTGAATATTGCATGCAATTCTAGATGCCCATCTCAAAAAAAGATACAGAGAACGACAACAAAAACGATTAAGGGTAGTGAACAGCTTTCATCTGAGGAGAGATTTAAAAGACTGGGACTGTTCAGTTTAGAAAAGATGAGTAATGAGAGTCTATATAAAATCATGAATGGCGTGAAGAAAGTAATTAAGGAAGTGTTGATCCATTTGCATAACACAAGACCCAAGGGTAACCAAATGAAATTAATAGGTAGCAGGTTTAAAACAAACAAAAGGAAGTACTTCTTCACACAACACACAGTCAACCTGTGGAACTTGTTGCCCTGGGATGTTGAGGGCTAAAACTACAATGGGGTTCAACAAATAATTTTGATAAGTTCAGGGAGGAAAGTCCATCAATGGCTATTAGCCAGAATGGTCAAGGATGCAGTCCCATGTTCTGGGTGTCTCTAAACCTCTGACTGCCAGATGATTGGACTAGAAGACAGGATGGGTCACTTTACAATTGCCCAGTTCTGTTCATTCCCTCTGAACCATCTGGCATTGGCCACTGTTGGAAGATAAGATACTGGACTAGATGGATCATTGGCCATACTGAGTTAAATTGTTCTTATGGACTTTTTAGTACAAAAAGGCTAGAACTCTAAGTCTGCCAAAGCTGAATGATAGTGGTGAAAAGTAAAGCTGGTTCTTGCGTAATTCACTCTTTTATTCTAACATGTGCAAAGGCTGTATCCAGTAAGTTTCCTCACCTGTATTAATATGGAGTGGCTAGAAATATAGCTAAATGTTGCTAGCATGTGTAACTGCCTGTACCAAGGATTTGATTTAATTGAAATCAAGTTGTGATGCACAATACAGTATGCACCGCATGTTGGAATTTAATGACTATTTCAAACCAATTTAAGATTAGTAGATATTAGAGCTGGTCAAAACCCCGTTTGACACGTTGATCAGAAATAGCCTTTCTTTAAACCAGAAACTTTCCATAAATGGCTTTTTGTCAAATTTCATTTTATTTCTTTCCTCTCCCTCCCCTTTTTGCCACTAAGTGCCCCAGTAGGATGAATGAGATCCAGGTTTTTACTTTTCCACTTTAACTTTTGAAAATTTTGGACCCCCCTGCCCCAAAAAAAGTCAGCGGCAAAAGGAAAAACTTGGGAGTGGGAGAGAAAATTAGGGGTGTGTGTGTGTGTGTGTGTGTGTGTGTGTGTGTGTGTGTGTGTGTATTTTTAAAGGGGCAGGGGAGAGGAGAAAAACCCGTCCTGGCCCTCAATCTATTGCATTCAGTGGAAAAGGGGGAGCGGAGAGGGCGATGAAACAAAATAGTTTTCAAAAATACTTTTGTTTTGATAAACCTTTTTGTTTTCAAGTTTTTCCCTACTTCAATTAGCCAAGTGGTTCTCAAACTTTTGTACTGGTGACCCCTTTCACATAGCAAGCCTCTCAGTGTGACTCCCCCTTTATAAATTAAAAACACTTTTTTTAGATCTTTAACACCATTATAAATGCTGGAGGCAAAGCAGGGTTTGGGGTGGAGGCTGACAGCTCGTGACCCCCCCATGTAATAACCTCATGACCCCCTGAGGGGTCCTGACCCCCAGTTTGAGAACCCCTGAATTAGCCCTATTAGCTGCCTTTCACCAACTGTTCACTAGATGGCATGCTAGCCTGAATGGATCATGTAGTGCTGAAAGAAGGTGCTTTATATCAGACTTGTGTGATGATCTGTATTAGGATGTGATGCCCTGTTAAAATGTGCATCACAATAACATTTTTACAGGTCAATCCAGGAGATTCTTTTGTAACTTAATCTCAAATCAGTGGTGAAACATACTAGTCAAATTTACTTGTTTTACAAGTACAGCCCCCCACCAAAAAACAACTTTTTTTTTTATCCATTTGAATTAAGTTGCAAAAATTGCTCAAATGTGAGCACATAGCTACATATATGGCAGAGATCTTTGTATATCCAAAAGGTCAACATGTATCTTTGTGGAATGGTGCAGCAGGTACCATCTTGAGGTCAGATAGTGCTTCGACACCCTATTTTAGATTGATAGCTTGCTTGTTTCAAAACCTACTTGGATTAATAACCAGTAGTGGAGCCTTTGGTCTCTAAAAAACACTTTAAACACAAATGTAATCACTAGAATACCTTTTGTGGGAGATAGGGGTTGTCTAAAGCAAGCATCCTGTTTTTAGTACTGGAACTTTAATCCTTTTCTTTCTGATGGTTATCTGGCTTCAAATATGTTAGCTTTATAGGAAAACTCTAGGATAAAATGTCTTAACCCTTTAACACAGTTCTGGTGCAAACCTTCGCCTGCCTAAATGTCTTGATTGTGTCTAATTCTTAATATACACTTTTTATTAAAAGCAACATTGGTGACTGAGTAATTGATGTTCAGCACAACTTGTACTACTTGGGTCTTGACTGCCTGTGCAGCTGTGTAAGTTACCGGCATTGCTCTGGGAGAGGAAGGATGGTTCAATGGATAAGGCACTGGACTGGAACGGAGAAGATCTGGGACCAATTTCTGACTCTGCCACTGAATGTCTATTATTATTATTATTATTATTATTTATTAATAATCTTTAAGGCTTCCATTCCTGTTGCTGTAAAATGAGGAACAGTATCTCATGCTCTCATGGGACACTGGAGACACCTCTAATATTATGAGATGGGGTTATTTGAAGACAACTGATCATTTTCAAGAAGATACTGTAAAATCATGTTGGCTTGTGATCTAGGAAACCCTTGGAGTGGTTATAGGAATTCTAAATGAGAAGCACTAGTCAAAGTTTAATACTGTTAATATTTGCAGTCAGTGTAATACATGACTGTCTATACAGCTGTCTTTTATATCGGCACAAATCTAAGTTGCAAATGCACAACAGAAAAATGTAATTCTATCATGTTGGCAACTATGTATTTGCTCCAAGCTACAAATAGTATTCACATGACTGTCTCATGCCTTCAAGCACTGACAAGGTCAGTAAAACGTGCTATCTGTACAACTTGCTCAAGAATGCCAGTAAAGAACTAAATATATTCTAAACAAAGCTGAAAGCTGTTTCCTCTTGAATCTGAGGGAGGCAGGAGATACATTAATACTGAAATAACTTGCCAGATGGCTTGCCTTGAGCATAAGTGCAATATACTGGTATGTTTAAGCCTACAACTTGGTGAGTGTTGATCTATCGTACTGAGACACTCATCAACTTCATGCTCCTACAGCTCTGATAAGCTTTAATGGGTGAAACTCTAAATTTATCTTAATCCAAACTGGATATACATAGTGATTCAGACTTGAGTTAAATGGATACCCTTAGACAGGCAAAATCCATTGTGTTTGTGCACAATTATAAACATGTTTTGGGTTTTTGTTCTTGTTTTTTTTGCAGTACAAAAGAATACTCATTACATGATGATCTTTGATGCCTTTGTCATATTGACTTGTTTAGCCTCATTGATCCTCTGCACACGATCAGTGGTTAAAGGATTTCGGCTCCAAAGGGTGGGTATAACTTATCCTAAGGAATGCTTTTGAGCCATTTAAACTTAGTTTGATTGTAGCTGCTTTTCTTTTTTTCCTCTAGGAATTTGTAAGTTTTTTCCTACATCATTATAAGAAAGAAGTATCTTTCACAGATCAAATGGAATTTGTCAATGGGTGGTACATCCTGATTATTGTTAGTGATGTCTTAATTATTGTTGGCTCAACACTAAAAATGGAAATACAAGCTAAGGTAAGACCTTCACCTACTAGGTAGAAGCAAAACTGTTCTTGAAATTCCATCCCAGTCTGACTTCTCGAGTCTAGCCAAGCAATACCCCCTTAGAGGTTTCCAACTAGTAGGGACCAAAAATAAACTGTTTCTTTGTTAAGCATTTCATTTCAGGTGAGCAGTGACTGGTCATTAGACTTTAGAACCCTGAATATCCTTGGACACCCATCTGCCTATTCTCTTCACTCTTAAGAAATTTAACCCTCAAAATAAAATTTTATATTCACTGTCTGCTTTCCCTTTTCCTCCTCCCATGTAGTGCCAGCTGTACTTGGGATCTGGCTTTTCAGTTTAGAAGTGTATGTGTAACTTTCTGTGCACCACTGTACAGTACCTACCACTGTCTTGAGGAAAGGAGGTACTTCTCTAATACCTCTTCACTGCAACTCCAGCTCCCAATCTCCAGCAACTAAGCAGGCATCAGCCTGGCAACCTTCAGTCTGCAAGAGTTCTGAATATCTCCAGGAATGGCAACATCTCCACTACAGTACATGATGACAAAATAGACTTGCGCCCTCCCACATTCAGAGTTAGATGTGTACAGTCTCTGCTACTTTGATATCTTCTCTAACCAGTTCTGGTGCTACCACTTAAGCTTTTGGACCCTGGTATTTCTAGTTATATCTGAAACTACTTGCTTCCATATTAAAAATAATTCTAACAAGTTAGAGAGACAAGGTGGGTGAGGTTATATCTTAATGGACCAGCCAAAGTTGAGATTTACTTTTTAATATTTCTTTTGCTCTTATAGAAGTGCTTATCCCAGGGTCTAGGTGCTCAGTTTCTTAAATAGTCACACACAAATGCATGGTGATTTTATAACCCATGTCCAATAAGACTCAACCAAGAACTGCAAAAATATTCCATCCTGAAATACCCTAACATTAACCTAATGCTACTTTTCCCTCAAAACTTCAGCAGATTAGCTTTGCAGCATGCCTGTAAACTTTAGTCTAAGTTGACCAAAGAATAATTCTGAAAAAACAGTTGGTGGTGCTGATTACTGTTTTTAAATTATCCTTTCAAAGTACCCAACTACCAATTATAGGAGCTATATGCTCCATTCTTGGAAATAAATGCAAAAATGAATTGATTTATGGTCTGGGGAAATCCAGGTATATGAGCAAGAAGGAGTATATCTGATTGCAAGATTTCATCCAATGTGCTGTTTTCTTATTAAATGGTTTGGTAAAAATTGGGATTGTGAGGTTCATCTTCTTTCTTAGACTCCATATCCCATGTAATCAGCTCACAAGTAAAGCAGAGGCATCTCATTGCAAGTCCTGCAAATTTAACCTGAGATCTCAATAAACATCTCTTCCTTGTTGCACACTACTGTCTAAAAGTTCTGCCAGCCAAATTACACCTTGTGCAACCCTTAGCTACATTTATGCAAACTTGCTGAAGACAAGTGCAGCTTAACAAATGAAGCAGCTGATAGATAACACAAGAAGGAATGGAGTCCACCCAACTGTTTGCTGTATTGGTTCTGCAGGTCTAACAGGAATAAAAAAAAAAACTGAAAACCTTTTGTCACTAAAGTGAGCTGTTGTGTTCTTACTCAGATCTGATGCTTCAACATTTTTGCATAGTTGCCTTTCAAAGTAGAACTGCAGTTAAAAACAGGATAGTGAATGTATTAAGTTGGATGAAAGTAGACCAATGCGTGTAGGTGTTGACAGAATGGAAAACCAGTGGAACACAAATGAAATCTCGTTCTGTGATCATTTAGCTTCTAAAAACTGAAGTATCTTTCTCCTTGGTAACTTCCTGGAAATTTGGCACTTGTCTGAGCTTCTTGTTGGTTAGACCTGATTCTTCCTCTTACATAAAGATCTATTTTTGCTTGGGCAGAAAAATACATTTCTTGGACATGATGGCTATACTGTATATATTAGTCACACAAGTGAGAGATGCACAAAATTTATTTAAATACTTTCTCATTTCTTGCTTGCATCTATATAATCTAGTAGAGTTTTGCCCACTACACAATTGGTTTTGGTCAGTTTTGGAATGGGAGATGGAGGCTTTCAAGGAAAATAAAGTGTTTCTTGGCAAATTGTTGTAGCAATGACCAAATAATAGGCTAGCACAAAAAGGGAGACTTCTAGTCCACTATATGGTTTTAACACTTTGTTCTTTCCTGTTTGTTTTATATATAGAGTCTGACAAGTTATGATGTCTGTAGTATCCTCCTAGGAACCTCCACCATGCTTGTGTGGCTTGGAGTTATTCGATACCTAGGTTTCTTTCAGAAGTATAATGTAAGGATCTCCTGGGATCTCCATGCTGTTGGTATTTATTTTATTTGTTGTTATATCACAACTGTAACAAATATCTGGCTGGATTCTAACTTAATATTGGTTTCTGCAGCTGCTTATTCTGACACTACGGTCAGCATTGCCCAATGTCATTAGATTCTGCTGTTGTGCTGCTATGATCTATCTGGGCTATTGTTTCTGTGGATGGATTGTACTGGGGCCATATCATGTTAAGGTAATGTAATATTTGAGTTTTTTAAACTGAACAAACTAAACCAGGGGTTCTCAAACTGGGGGTTGTGATCCCTGGGGGTTGCAATGTGGTTACATGGGGGTTGCAAGTTGGCAGCTCTGTGGGGCTGACAACCCAAGCTCCCATTAAATTACCCCCCCCCCATTTTTAATTTATAAGGGGGGGGGTCACACTCTGAGACTAGCTGTGTGAAAGGGATCATGAATACAAAAAGTTTGAAAGCCACTTATTAAACTGAATTAATAGAAACTTATTTGGAATGAATTCCAATTGTCTTCACAATTTCAAGGCTTTCTCTAAGATGAAAGTCTTTGTTAAGAATCTAAAGCCTTACCTATCATGGTTTTGAACTTTGACAAAGTACAACGTCAACTTGATCGGACTTTCCTCTCCACCATTATGGGAGTCCTGAGTCAGAAGTATGGCCAGATTGATTCCTAATCACAAGCTGGGGCTTTCTATGCAATGTTTTGAGAAATAACTTGGTCTTGCACATGACTAACTTCTATTTTCAAATTGTTCAGATTTTTTTTTTTCTTAAAGGGATAAGAACTAAGGCACCAAAGTCAGCATGTCTTGCTATTAGTTCACAGCTGAACCAATCTGAATCTGTGTTGAAGACAACTAATCTATTGCCTGGATATATTCTACCAATGCATGTTGTCATATCTGTTTGCAATGCTATATCCTGCATTCTCTCCCTGCTATGCCGGGACCTGCCTGTAGCCACCTTTTGCTCTGCAGGTCTCTACACAAGGGACAGTTGATTGGGTACAGTGCCTCATGCTTCTTGTAAAGAGTCTAGGACAGCTGAGGCAGCAATATTCAACAGCTCTTGACTTATTTTAAAACCAAGACTGCAGCAAACAGTAACTCGATGGTACTAAATAATGTTTGTTTTGGTTTCCCCTTCTCCTCTAGTTCCGTTCTCTGAACATGGTTTCAGAATGCCTTTTCTCACTGATAAATGGAGATGACATGTTTGCCACATTTGCAAAAATGCAGCAGAAAAGTTACTTGGTTTGGTTATTTAGTCGGCTTTACCTTTACTCCTTCATCAGCCTGTTCATCTATATGGTGCTAAGTCTTTTCATTGCACTGATCACAGATACCTATGAAACAATTAAGGTAGGCATGTTCTTTTTTTTTTTTTTTCTTCTTCTTCTTCTCTGGTTCAGAAGAAAAATGCAAGAATGGTTTGCATGTTCAACTGTGATATTAATACAAAACCCATAGAATTCAGTACTGTTGCCAGTACATGTATCTATCTGGTAATTAAAGTTGAAATATGAATAAAAATTTACAGAAACTCTTCTACTGAAAAAGCTAACTTTCAGCAGCTACAGTATTGCTAGTTGATCTCACTGGCTAGGGAACAAGCATAATGGTTTAGTCGGGGTGCATCTAGACTTTACAATGTATTGCAAAGCACTGAGGTAGATGAGGTAATGTACATGAATTTAGAGCATAAATTTTTAACTTTCTCTCCTAACATGTTAGTGATCAAAGATTTCTAGAAACTAACTTAAGGAAGAGTGACTAAAATATTAATGAGAATTGTTCAACAGATTCTCTTCCCACCTTGCCCTAGTTTTGACAAAACCAATCTGCCTTCCTATCACAAACTTTCACTTTAAAGGATAAAAATCTATCAGAATATTTCTGTACAGTGGGCATTCTGAAGTGTAGTAGACAGTCTTCTAAACCCAGTTTACACAATTGTGTGTTTAGTGTTGAGGGGAAGGATTTAAATCTTAGCAAGACTATACACATAACAATTTCAGCTTTGTATTGTAACTAAGAATGACTCATCTTCAGCATTACCAGCAAGATGGCTTTCCAGAGACGGAACTTCATGACTTTATATCACAGTGTAAAGACCTACCAAACTCAGGCAGATACAGATTAGAAGAGGAGAGTCCTGTGTCTATCTTCTGTTGCTGTAAACGGTAGGCGTCTGGCTTAATTTGCCTGCCTCTTATTAAGTAGCTATATAACATGAAATCTTGGTGAGCTATGGTATATCAGAAATAGTTCTTAACTGAGAGTCTGGATTTCTAATGCTTTAGGAGTCCTGCACTATCATACAAATCAGCTATCCTCTTATTCAACTGGATTATGTTATGAAATACTGCAAAAATAAGATGTCTAACTTAAATTATTCCAGGCCCCAAATTTTGGAATCAAAGCAGCTATTCAAGCTACTGCAATAGACTGTCCTGCTCTAGTGGCCAGACCAGACTTTTGAGTCTGCTATTGCCTCTAACTAATGGGCCTGGCTCTTTAGTTCAAATAAGGGTTCCTGCTGTTTGGATCCAGAGATTACACATTCCCCACAGATGCCCTATCCAATGGAGGTGTTAAAGTTAGTGGCCCATCTGGGGATTTGGACTGTAAAATCTGTAGCTTCAGCTCAGGAATATTCATAGACTCTTACCTGTTTTGTGCCAAGGACTTCATATTTGTCTGTACCACCTTACTGAGTAATCCAGTCACCTTGTATTGTATGTGATCTTTCTGTTTCCAGTAGTAGTATCAGTCATTAAGGAATGGGTCTGAGTTATTTTTGAAGACTCCAAATTAACTACATTAAGTTAAAATTGTTACTTTCCTGCAACTAGCTGACAACTTTCTTTCTTGAAGATCCTAATGAAGATATTTACAAGAATGTGGGAATGAATTCTGGAGACTTTTTGAAACAGCACACCAATCACAAGAACTGGATAGAAAAAGTGGCTAGAAAATTCCTGAACTTAAAGCTCAAACTTTTTTTCTTTAAAATAGTACGAACTTGTTACAGAAGTTTGTGAAACTTGAACCTCCAACTCACCATTATCTCTAGTTTAGGTTGTATTTTTCTAAGCATATGGCTCTAATTGTCTCATCTAGTTAGAATTGATGCAAAGGGCATTATGAAACTGGCTATGCATAGTGATCTGGCTAGACTAGACTATCCAACAATATTTCTCCAATAGATCCAAAAGTTAAACAGTTGGACAATAACATCAAACAAAAACTGGTCCTCAACACTACAGGCATAATGAATGCTAATCCATACATATACTGAGTTACAGCACTACTTACTAAAGGACTTTGGTTTCTTCAGATTTTCTATTTACCTACAGTAATAGTAAAAACATCAACCAAAACTGAGTTTTAGTAAAACACATTAGATAAACTGCCCCTGGAGACAGTGTAGTGGATTAACATAAATGTTCAAATCTGTCTCAGGGCATAAATTAGCGGGCATTTGTGCAAACAAGCCATACTACCTGACATGACTGGCAGTCTCTTCTCAGAGAGGCCAGAGTATATAGCCAGGAAGAGGGCAGGTTGGGTTGAAGTGTGGTGGCAGAGCTGAGTGGGGGAACTTTACATAGCTTATTACAGACACCATTGGGTAGGACTAGGCACGTAGCCTTTCACTTCTCTTAACAGAATGCTGACCTACATTTTTAAAGAATTAAAGGTGAGGTAAGGGAGAAAATAAACATAACAGCAACAAAAGTACTTCCAAAATATCTTTTTTTTTATTTATTTATTTAAATGTTTCCTCTAGTACACAAGACCTTAGACTATTTTTGGAGTCTGGAGTCTAAATTAGATGTATGGAGGTTGTGACTTCCAAATATTGGAAAGTGGATATTTGACAGAGCTATTATCTGCTGCAGTCAGAAAGGTGGTCTGTGGAATTTTTATGATACGGTACTTTAAACATTACAATTCTGAGCTATTGAGCAGTCAGTCCTCTTGCTTTGGAACCACACTTTTATGGAAGCTTTATTCTCCATAATCTGTTCCCTTGGGAAGCAGAATAGAAAAACGGAGGAGCATATTTTAGATGATTGCACGTGTAAGAGCAAAACTCCTATAGGTGTAGTAAAATGTACAGTGAAATGTTTATGTACTATGTACAAACTTGGAAGACGTTAAACATGTTCTGTCTGAATGTTTATATTTTGTAGGAAAGTGCTGAAATAAACATTTGCAATTGAAGTAAATCTTGAGTGAACCAGGAGTAACTTTAAGATGTCAGTTTTTAGTTCAGCTTTTTCATGACCAGTATCCTTATACTTCGGGTAAGGATTAAAAAATATTGGACTGATTTGAGATGAATACCTAAACTTTAGCTTGATGCTAGCTCTGGGTCTGTACTAGATTAGCTCTTGCATTAATTCAATGAGAAAAACAATAAAAGTATCTTAATCTTTCATTGGTTTTCTTGTGTAAAACAGTCTTGCAGAAGTGGTACATCTATCATAATAGGTTCTAACTCAGCACAGAGGCCAACCAAATGCAATAGGTAGCAGAACTGGGACAGACTGAACAAATTCCCCCTAAAAAACTAAATTTCTAGCAAGTCATTTTAATAAGGCTTATTTCACCAGCATTTTGGTTATCTTGGGAATGCTGTTGGGGGGGAAAAAAGTTGATTAGCATATAAGCGGTGATTGCAATTCTTTGCCTACCAAAAGGGGCTAAACATAATGTACACACCACTTAAAAAGCACTATCGCAGCTGCAAGGAAATCTGAAAGGAATGGCATCTGCCACTATAAACCATTGAAAGGGCATCACCTCTCCCACCTGATTATCTCCTACCTATTTCATCATAAACTTTCTCTTGATTTTTAAACCAGTCTGCTATGACTTACACAATTCAGCAAAACCCAAATCTGATTACAATGCAGAGCAGTGTTGCT